TTTCTTCAAAATTTATGTTCTTGACAATTTGATAAGAGTTTTAACTTATTATCCTTGTTTTGTTTTAAAAATGAGTAGATTATTTCATTTCTATTATTGTGTTTAAACGTTGTGGACTATCCATCTTTAAAGAAAAAATAATTTTTTAATATTATTTTTTCTTAAATAGAGTGAATTATTCCTATTTATAGAAAATTTAATTTGATATTAAAAATTATGGATTATCTTCCTCTAATTTAACCTCTTGAATTTGTATGACTTGTCTATAGAAGGAAAAACTATGGATGCTACTCTTGACAAAAGTGAGAATAGATTTACAAATATTATAGATCTTCATGAGTTTATTAAAAAAATTAGGATAAAAATCTCATTTATTTCTAACATAAATCATAAAAATACTATTCTTATGCCCATAGAAGAAATTAATAATGAAGTTCCAAGTCTGTATCAAAAAATTATGAAATTAAGAGAAGTAATTAAATGAAGTTCACAATTGAATTCAAAGAATTTCACTACTATAAATATAAAAGAGATAAGAATAAATATGTAAGAGAAGTTTGATGGAAAAAAAAATCAAAGTTTTGAAGGATTTTACAACAAGTATAGATATATCTAAGATTACATTTTTTTTAATGTATTGATGGATTTACTCAAGTTGGATTCATATGAGTAGTTTTCTTTAAGAGTATTCTTTCTTAGTTTGTACCTTTGATGGAAAAATATTTATGATTAATCTATGATTTGAATTCTTTCTTGGAAGTGTTTAAGCTTATATTTGGAGAAAGTGATCAAGATAGGATAGTAGAAATTAAGCACACATATCTACAACAAAAATCATGTTTAGCCACCACATATAATATTGAATTCTAAAATCTTTCTTGCAATGTGGTTTAAAATAACAAACCCTTTATCAATCAATTTTGATATGGATTGAAAGATAATGTCAAAGATTTATTTTTGACAATGCGAAGAGCAAATTTATTAGAATAATTTATTACTTAAGCCATTGCATATAACAACCGAGTCTTTGAAAGATGCCAAGAACAAAGATTTGATTAGGGAAGTATAAGACAAGTAATAGCAACACCCTCTAAGTTTTTGAAAGCTTACTTGTCTAAACCAAAGCTTATGTAAATTAACACAATAGGTTTGAAACCTCTTACTAAGTAAGAAAAGATCTAATGTTGTTAAGAAGTTTATACCTATATTATAAAGAATCTAAGTACACTATTCAATATTATCTAAAAAAAACAATGCAATGACGAAATGAAGAGCATAGTTGTCAAAGAAGATAATGTGTCAAAAAATAAGTTTTTTTACGTACAATAGAAACCATACAATTAAAATCTTGCATAATACTTAATAAAAGTCTTATTCTTTCTTCAAATTTTGTTACCTTGTTTTACAATAAAAGTTTATTTATGACCAAAAAATCACAAAGTCTTAGCTTTTTTAGATTTAAGAGCCTTAGCTCATTTTATAAATAAAAACTTTGTCAAAAATAAAAAATAGCCTTAATTAAGAAAATCAAATCTATATATATAGAAGTAATAGCTAGTCATTTATTATCTTCTTGAGATATTATATATGAAATTATTTCTTTAAATATAATAATTATTAGTTATAATAATTTAATAATATTTATGTCATTAGATCTCTATTTAATTCAATTATTTTAGAATTATCATGGCTAAAAAATTATAATCTTTGAATAAGTTAGATTTCTTATAATCTTGGTTTTTTCTTTGTCAAGATAGAGAGAATTTGCTTCAAGAAAGCATTGGACTTCTACATATTATTGATTGCTCAATCAAGTCTCAAGATAGATAGGAAAGTACTAAGTTTATAAATATATATATATATATATATATATATATATATATATATAATAAAATAAAAATTATCTCTACAAGGATAATTACATCCTTACATAAGTCCTAAGTATCAAAGAACATCCAAAATGTGATAAAAATATTCTAAACCCTTAAATATCTTTAGGATGAATTTTTTCTAAATTTCAATAGATTATATCTTATAATCAGACTGTTCAAAAAAACTAAAATTTTACATGAAATATTAATGTATTCAAAAAATTATCACAATAAATTTCAATTATAAATTTATTACGGATCTTGAAATATTGCCAAAATCCTAACATGTAGTTTTAAACTGTTGCTTGCATACACTTATGTACAAATTTCTTTATATCTCATAAACTAAGTATTTAAATATCATAAAATTCTCATATATAGCTTCTTAATCTAATAATATATATATTTAGAAATTTTGAACTAAAATTCGTGGAAAAACTTAAAATATAGCTCCAACCATTACTATCAATAAAATAGCTCACTTATTATCTTTGAATTATATGTATTGTCTTCAATGCTCTATAATTCCTTCATAAAAATTTCAAATATAACAATTCTTTAGCAAAGATGTAGGTCTTAAAGTCATCCTTGTGGCCGCACCTCTCAATTTCCAAAAACTACCATATAATTATTTATATCCTCAAAAGACCAACAATATGTCTTAAAAAGATACCTTAACTTCAAATAGCTATAACTTCATCACCCTAACTTCAAACCTTCTAAAATTTATGCACAAATTATAGTCCAAATCTTAAATCTTATAACTCTTGCTTTTGATTTTCAATTGTCTCTTTTGATGTTATCAAAATCCTTATTATGGTCGCAAGTAGCCTCCTAAGAGCCTATTGGGCATAGCTTTTGATCAATAGGAATGAAGATCCTCACTCCTTGCCTTTACCCATCCATACCTTGCTTTCATCCCTCCAAATAAGCTTCTTAGAGGTTTGAATCTTCATCTTTGAGCCCCAATCTTTTCTTCAAATTTTATACTAAATATCTAAATCCTATATATTTTAAACATTAAAATCAAATATGTAAAATTTAAAATAAATTTTTTTACATCAATTCTTTTTAAATTAACCTACTAATCACTTTATTAATATATAAATAGTTATAAATATATTATATGATTTATTTAATTTTTACATAATATAAATAATTACAATATGATACCATAATTTAGCCCAAGATTTTATTAAGAAAATAGAAATTTATAAGATCAATACATCCAAACTATTATTGATAGGTAGAAGAGCTTTCATGCATGCTACAAAATAAAGTATGAGTTGATTTAGCTTGGATTACTAGCATTCACTACATCTCACTTGTGTATATATGTAGAAGATGAGACAACAACATGAAATAATTCTTATCTATAGTCATTCATGTTTTTTATCAAATCTTGAATTGTTTGATTTATTTATAAAAAAATAAAGATTTTATCTAATTTGTAGTCAATTTTGTCGTTAAGTGTAGTTAAAATTTGTTGCAGAGGATTTTCTAGATTATACATGATTCAGTATAGGATTTTAATATGTAGCACAAAAAGAAGCAGGGGATTGAAGCAAGGGCAAATTTTTGAGTGTATCTACTTATATTGATAGAACAAAGATGATGAGCTCAATAAACCATGGAGTAAAGCATTGTTCAGATTCGACAATTTGGAACAACAGACATGGTTGAGAATAGAAACAACAAATAGGGGACAGAGGTACGAGAGAACAAAAGGAATGAGGAATTGGTGGTGACAATGCAGAAGAAATCAGGGCAAAGGATATAGATGGAAATGGGGTTAGAGAAGTTGGGAATGAGGACAAGGGATGAGAGATGTAATGATGGTTAAGATAGGTGGATTACTTTAGTAAAAAATTGGGTCGCTTTATCATTTTGGTATATTTATTGAAAAATATTTAATCCTCTGTTTCTTGGTTTTTAATTATTTTCTGTTTCAATGTATTTTGAATCATGTTGATGAGAGCAAATTCTCCACTTTGTAGAATGTTTTAAACTTTTATGGTCTAAAAGGAGGCAGGTTGAAAAGGTAGATCTTGGACCACGGCTGTCCTTGCTGGAGCTACGTACCTTTAACTTTTGATAAGGTTATGAAATGGGTCTGAGACTGAGAAGAGGAGCCAAACCAATTACCATGGAGACAAAGGCAAAATAACAGGAAAAAGGACAGTGAAACAGGCTAAAAGCCTCATACTGCCCATGTGTAATCCAAATCTGAAAAGGACAGGACCCACCACTGGAAGAATCTACAACCCTGGCCATTAACAATAGGTTAATACGAAAATTTGCAAAGTACTTGTTCCCTCTTCGTAATGTTGACAGATTCTAGAGCAAGTCAACCTTTTTACGTACCGAAATCAGACCTACTTGTATTTTGGAACTTTACCCTCTTGCTTCAACTGAAAAAGTTATCCGGCTAGCCTTTTTTTCTTTATTCATTTAATTTTCTGTCTGCTACATAAATTCCAGTTGTGTTAGCTTGTCTAGACCATTTTAGCATTGAAGTTATCCTAAAAGCAGAAAAACAAAAGAAATTACGCATCGGTGCAAATCAGAATATGATGGATCAGAACCGAGGCTGCCTGATTGCGCCGTGTAGGGCTCAGATTCCCCGCTCTGAGCCTCATCACTTTTTCTAGGGCCTCATAAACCCAGTGCACCGTGGAGGAGATGCTGAAGAAGACGACGAAATGTGGAGAATAACACTTGACTTAGCTAGCTTGAAAGATTCCAAGTTGCATGCTTGAGAACTAATACGGGTTGTAAGAATCATGTGCAAAACCTGCCACCGAATTGCGGTAGAATTTGCGAGGGAATTGTGGAAGAGTTTCCGAAGAAGGAACGCAATCGAGCATGCGGAAAAGGATTGGAAGGGAAAGGAGGGTGCCCCCATCTCGCCCCTCTTTCAGTTCAGCTTGTAGGGCACCAGCTGCTGCAATGGTATCCACATTCCAAGAGAAGGATCCAGGGGTCCATACGATGCACGTGCACGTGCCTCATCTCGGGCCCGCCGACCCAACCTCTTACGCGCTCTTTGAACTTCCGCGTCGAGCACGTGGAGGGCAGACGTGATCTCGAGCTTGATACCGTCGGAGGCTTAAAACACCCGTGATGTCACTGCCGTTGTTCAATTTTGAAGCAGATGTGGTGATCGGAGACACTGAGGAAGAATCTAAGCTGGACTATTACATCAACGAGTTTAGCCGAGCTGAATTCAGGAGGGGCTCTTGCTTCTCACTTGAAAGGAATGATCAATTTAGGGTAGAGTTTTGGTTTGGCCAGGTTTGAGGATTGTGCGTTAGGAGAGAGAGTGTCCCAAAAACGGACTTCTCAGGTTGAAGTGTTTGGGAATTTTATAAGAAAGGTTTGGTGACGTGAAGCAGAGCTCTAGGTCGCGTTTCGGAACTTGTGAGTCTTGACAGGGGGGTTGGAGGAGGAGAAGAACCTGGGCGTGCAAACGGGATTCCAAATGCAAGGGCGGATTGTCCGCGGGAGAAGGAAGTTTTGAGTTAGAATTTTCGCCATTGAATCTGAGGACTGCATTGGAGTCGTAGAAGTAGCAATCGTGAAGGGTTAGAGAATTCTTTTACACGTATAATTATTTTTGTTCCTTGGCAGGCAACGCTGATATTGAGTGATTTTGGGGCCTCGCTGACCCTTGGAATGGTGGAAAAAGTGCGGTCACAGACTCTCAATGCTAAGAGAGGAGGGAACTTGTTGGCGCCAGTGAAGACCTCCGCCTCGATTCAGAAGAAGTCGACGTCGTCGTCGTCGTCGTCGTCGTCGTCGACGTCGTTGTTGAATGTCCCCAAGGATTCTACCTGCGATGCTAGATCCTCACCTCTGAATGCCAAGGTGTACAAAGGGGTGCGCATGCGAACATGGGGCAAATGGGTTTCGGAGATCAGGGAACCCAACAAGAGGTCACGTATCTGGCTGGGCTCCTTCTCCACTGCGGAAATGGCCGCCAAGGCCTACGACGCAGCGGTGGTGTGCTTGCGAGGCCCGTCAGCGACTCTCAACTTCCCTGAGTCTCCTCCATCAGATCTCCCCTTGTGCAGCACGCCCCGCGACGTGCAAGCTGCAGCTGCCGCAGCCGCTGCAGCCTGGGCACCACCTGCTAAAAGTGAGTCACTGTCCACGACTCCGAAGACTCTCAATTCCGAAGACGAAACCCACTCGCAGCACGCCTCCTCCTGCGATGACAACAGCATACAGGGCAACTTGGAGAGCCCCATCTCCGCAACGCCAAATCCAACGAGCATGGCCACGGACATGGAGAAGTGGATCAATGCTGAGTTTGGATACTTGGAGTCATTAGACGAGGCTTGCGACTTTCCAGAGCTACTAATGCAGTTGGGACTAGCGAATTGTTCACCATTGGATTGCACTACACCTCAGAGTTTCTTCGACAAGCACATTCCGATTGTGAACTCTCCCTCTAGTGATAACGAGGATTCTACTCTCTACGACCCCAAGCTATGGTGCTTCAACTGATTACGGATCACCGCAACTGCAGCAAAACGTACGAACTTCGGTACAACTAGTGCTCATATCCACTCAAGAGCAAAAAGCATCCATCAAACGGAACATCATTGACTGAAAAAGCTGAACGAATTTCGCAGCTTACAGCACAAGCAGAGATGATCGAGCTGCTTCATGTATAGACCTTGGAGTGGCAGTGAATTTCCAGCGGCAAGGAGCACATTGCTCCATTGTTAGTTTGTGTTAATTTTTGTAGCAATAGAACATTCTTACTTCTGTAATGCTGGCCTTCTCACATTCTTACAGCATGACAAACGCATCGAAGTTTGACATAAGAGATTCCAGGTACCTATCAACACGGCTCTCAAACTGTCAGTCAGCTGGAATGGCTAGATCCCTCTTTTTCAAGCCTTGAGAACATCGCCACCGTAAGTCACGGTCGAGAGTAGTTATGAGGTCTGTCTCAAGAAAAACTGAACGTCTGAACTCTAGACTCGGGTATTCTCTCAAATGTCGCGAACAACTTCTCCGAAAAGAAATTTGTACTTGATTAAGTGCAATGCACGTATTACAGAGATGAGCATTGAGGACTGAATCTCACATAGTTCCACATACAGATCAATTACGAGACATTCATGAGAACGAAACATTCTTATAATTCGTCTCACATTCTCACATTCCCGCTCACAGGTACAGACATCTATACCACAAACAACCAGTACACAGCCATGTCGTTCAGGATAGATAACATACTTTCCAACAGGTGCAAGAGCTTCATGAATGCGACCAACTATCGCTCCAACAACTAGCCTTCAAGATGGTTAGATTCCTTTAAACAAGTATAATTTGACGTGACATGAAAGGGTCTTTGTACCACATGAAAATAAAAAAAATAAAAAATAGTGTTTATTTTGTATTAAAGTGGTGATAGAGAGTTGGATGTCATGTTTACCATTTGTATTCAAATTCCATGGCAAAAAACCATGCTTTTGGAATATGGTAAGAATTCGTGCATTTCCATATGGATTCTTCATTTGTGACTATTAATTTAATGTATCAATTTTTTACAATTGTTGTATTTGATGAGTTGCAAAATGAAACACTACTTTCTTGGATTATTAAAGTCATACAAAAGATAAAGAATTTTTTTATTGGTTGTAATTTTTACAAGCATCGGTAAATACTAAAGATTCAACTTGGAACCATTTTATTATATTGTGAATAATGCAAGTCAAGGGTGACAAGCCATCAAGTAAATTTTACATTGCTAGATTCTAACTCAATATTGAAATGTATTATTAATATTGTTATTATTATTTTACAGTATTTTTGTTAACATGAAAAAAAAATGTTTATAATAAAAAATATTTGTTTTTTACTTTGGCGTATTTGGCCTAGTGCACAAGTGCATTTGTATGTGTTCCAAGTGTTGAAAATTTTGAAACAGAAGACAAATGAAAAAGTAGATAAAATCACTTCTGTAAAAAGAAAAATTTCAATGAAATGTGAGAAACATTATCATTTCACATTCAATATGAAGAAAGTAAAAATATATATATATATATATATATATATATATTAAGAGAGCAAAGAAAGCAAAAGATCAAGTTTTATTGTTATAATATTCCAGGGATGAAAGAATTTTTTAAAAGATATTATTTTCAAAAATATGGTGGAATTTTAAATTTAATATAATATTTTAAAATTAAATTATTTTTTAATGTATTTGAATGTTGTAAGTTTATTATATACTTTGCAATATATAGGATTTTTTAATTTAGTGAATTTCTGTATTTGTGACTAAATTTTAAAATATTTGTGTATAAAATTTTGAAATAAAATATATTTTAAAATTTAAGATAGTTATAAAACATATAAAAATTTTCAAAGTAAAATAAAATAGTAATTTATGAATGTACTTGATTCTAGGATTTCAATGTTTCTCTAAATCTACTATGCTTCTAATATATATATATCTATATATATATATATATATATATATATATATTTAATTATTTGAGAGTAGTAAATTTTGAGATTTTAGATGTTTCTTGAAGTCAATGAATGTAATATATTCTAGAATTTGTAAATCTCTTATAAGTTGTAATTTTTTCTCTTAAACATTTTTTATTGTAATATATTGTTGGTTAGTATGATTGTGGTACCTTCTTCATATACATCAAGATATTAATCATAGTAATAAAAATTTATATGGTCCATAGAAGACATGGTTTTGAATTGACTCAAGAGGATTATCACGAAGAAGAATAGATTTATTGGTGTGAAATTTAACAATTTCTATTTTTACACATTACATATATTTTAGGACCAAAATTACAATGGATTAGTTGTTATTAAAAAAAAATGGAAGGAATTGAGAAGATAAGTCTTTTGAAAGATCAAAATATTTTTAAAAAAGACATTGTGAAATCAATTTTAATATGGAAGCTATGGAAAGAGAGATGATAGAATGTGTATAGAAAATAATAGAAGTATATAAGAGAGAAGATATTTTTACAATGCAACACTTTCCTATAATTTCTATACAATATATAATGAAGCACAAACCTTAAGTTTTTAAAGTGCCACAAATCATATCCATATATATATATATATATATATATAAGTGAATCTAGAACAGATGATTCAAACACATCTATTAAACAAAAGACAAACTTCATAGAAAATTATATACAAAGAAATTCTAGAACTATACCATATATATTAGAAAATTCAACATGCTTTCTCACAGAGTATTAAATGAATACAATTTTATAATATTATATACAATATATATTCATAAATATGACTGAATATTTTCATTTCTTTCTATTTTATTTTATGTAACTTTGAATATGAAGTATAGCAACATCTTAAAAATAAAATAAAAAAATATGTAATTGAGTCTACTTATTGATATTATATGTAATTTATTAAATATGATATAAGGATATAATTTTTATTTACACAATATACATATATATATATATATATATAATAGAAAATATTAAAATGACCCAAATTTTTGTTAAATTGACCCACATGTCTAAACCATCATTGCACCTCTCCACCCTGTCTCCATTCCCCATATTCCTAGCTGTTCTCCCCATTCTCGCAATCCTCATGTTCCCAGCCGTTCCCCCATTCCCGCAGTCCCTGTTCCCCCAGCCTCCGTCCCTAGCCCCGACTCTCCAGCCCCGTCCTTGTTTCAGCGACATCACTGCGTGAAATTCATGGACTGGTGCTGTACACACTCGGCTTGAAGAAATTCAGGGCTGAATTTATGATGATGTTTTAGGTTACGATTCATTTGGTAGAAATGACTTGGAAGGATTACTACAAGACCTATGCAAACTTGTCATATTTGCAATGTCTAGTGGAGGTATTTCTCCGGCACTTGTAACGATTTTGGAGGATTATGCTTCTGCTTCAGATTTATATTTGCCTGAGTTGTAATTGCTGTGTTGACACTAAATTTTAACTTTTTCCTTGTTCAGCCTATTGTCGATTTATTTGTTGGTATACGCAATGCAGTGTGTATCTTTCTATTCAAACTAGGGCTTTGGATTTATAAGACTTTCAAATTGAATGCTGGATATTTGGAATCTTCTAGCTAAGTGGCTAGGATCCTCTCGCCTATCCACGAAATGAGTTTGATTCAATATTTGTTATATAATATTACTACATTCAATACAAATTTCTATAATATTTGAATATGAATAATTATATTCAATATCTATGATCACTTTTTTTTCTTCATTATCTTATTATTATGAATATATTATTTTAAATAATATAATTTAATTGATTATTTCTAAAAAATATATAATTACAAATATTAAATTGTTTTTATAAAATAGTCTATATAAGTTATTTATTAAAGTTAATTTTGTAGTATTAATTATCAAATCTTGAACTCATTGTATTATATGTATGTATATATATATATATATATATATATATATATATGTAGATATATTTTGTAATATAAGACATTCCTGGGAATATTTTATAAAGTATTTTTAATTGTTAATTATGTATAATCTAATATCACATATCAACTATGTAGACTTAGTTATATAAGTAGTTATTTAAAGCCTTTTTTACTTATGCTTCTACTATAAATTCCAATTAATTAACTCTAATTAGGTTCTCAAAATGGAGAACTTTAATTCATAAAAAATATTTCAAAAAATAGAAAAATAAGTAAGTTCACACAGTTATCTACAAATAGATGATAATCAAAATAAACTTTAAATTCACCAAAGAAAAAAAAATAGTGTATTATCAACCACCAAAAGATTATAAGAAATCTTCTTTTATCTGCATGTGAGTTCATATGCAAGTAATTTATTAATTGAAAAATGTAAACTTATAGCATATACAAAAAAATTGGTAATTAAGGAAGTAAAACTAAATTAAAATAGCAACTTCTTTGAAACAACAAATAAATAAAAAGTTGGGTCTATTATCTACTATTATAAAACATTTGACTGTAATAAAATATGTCCAGGATAAGTAATCACTACTACATATTTTCATGTAAAATATGAACATAATATATGAAATACGTGTAATATATATTTAAAAATAAAACATTCGAAAAAAATTAGTAGAAACCAAATATATATATATATATATATGTGTGTGTATGTATGTATGTATATATGTAGGTATATTTCCACATATATATACATACATAAATACATACATACGTACATATGTTTATCTTCCATCCATATATTCATCCACCCATCGACACATTCATTCACCATCCACACATTTTTACGTCACCCGTCAATCATGCATCCAAACACACGCTTATTCATCTACATTCCACCCACACTCCACCTGTCCAAATATCCATCCACGCAACCATTCATCTCTATATTTTCCATTCATCATTTCGTACAATGATTTATCTCAATTCCCAGACTTTCATCCATCCATCTATCCACCTCAGTCCCCCATCCCAGTACCGTTCATCTACCTTTTCATGTGCTCGTGTGTGTGTGGGTGTGCGTGCGTGTTCGTGAGATGCTTTCGGGGAACTGTTGAGTTCCTATAACCCCACCGGAGAGGAGCGAAGTAGGGGCAAGGTTTAAAACGTGATGGAATCAGGGTAAAGGTGACCCAGCACTCGCCACTCACTACTCGCTACCCACGGACTCTCACTCTCGCTCACGCCCTCCCTCCCTCCCTCCCTCCCTCCCTCCCTCCCTCACACACTCACTTGTGTGCCGCTGCCATTGTTGGCTCTCCTTCCAGCATCCGCCGCGGCCGGCGCGGCATCCACTTGGAGGCGAACTGACGATGATTCCATAGGAGCCAACGCGGCGTCTCGCTCTGCTTCACGCAGTCAACTCCACGATTGCCCTACCCAACATTCCATTCTTCACTAAACCCTTTTCCCATTTCCTTCCCCTCCACTTGGATTCACAAGCGTCGTCGTTGCATTTTGTTGTCGTGGCCCTTCGCCGCCAGAATTTGGAGCCGGATATTTACTCGCCCTAGTATTAAATAATCCACTCATTGGAGAATGTTCCACGCCCTGATCTTCAAAGTGAGCGGTAAGGTTCTTCGATAGCTTCCGGTATCTAACTCTCCACCTATGTCAGACAAGGGACTGCTCCTCCGCTTTAGTTGCTCATTGCTTATCTAGATATTTGTTGGTGGTGTCAGTGTGGGTTCACAGAGGCCGCCCTATGTCGGGATCGTTTAGCGTCAAAAGCAGAAGTAGAGAAAACCAAGAGTGCCATTGCACCAGCGAGATGGGTGCCGAGTGGTCGCATTATAGGGCGATGTTCATACTGAAACCGGATGACGCCTTTGTGTTTCAGAAATCCACTTCTGCTGGTGAAGAGAACGTTGTGCATCTCTGGATTACGGCCGAACAAAAAACGATTATTCGTAGTCATTCGTCCAGTTTTCAATGCTACCCCAAATCCAGAATTGCGAGAATCAATCATCTATCAAATAAACAGCAATACAAAATTCCTCCCCATCTTGCTCAAAATCATCGTTTATAACTCACACTAATAAACGCGAGAGAACCAACACTGATAAAGACATCAAAATTTTCAAAAAAATGTTGCTTGTATAACACTCTAGTGTTAGACGTTTGTGCGTGTGTGTCTGTGTATTCTTTTCTTTTCTTTTCTTTTCTCGTTTGTGTTTTTATGTCAAAATATCACTTTTGTCCTAAATTTTTTGCCTTTGTCTCTGTGGAAGTCAAAGTGAATGTAAACAGAGGTGAATATGTATATGAGTGGGGTATTTCTTTTGTCTTTCTGCCTGTCTTTTTTCTATTTTTGTTTTATCAAGATTTGTATTTCTCCGATTTGAAATCATGAGTATACAAAGTTATTCTGGTGTGGCAGCCAGGTCACTATCGGATCCTCCATCAGCCGCTGGAGGGCCGCGATGGACAATCTACCGCCATCATCGTACCAAGCAACGAAGAATGAATGATGGCACAGGTCAATGTAGAATGTTGGGAATCGACGGAAGCTCGGAAAGTGAGTGAATGGTTGCCGTTCACAAAAATTGGCTCACAGTGTACAATTTCAGTCATTCTTGAGTACAAACTTGCTCTTAAAATTTATTCGTCCTTGCGGACGTCGGTACACTTGCTCCACAAAGCATAACCCTGAAAATGCCAGGCAGTGCATGCTTGAATAAATTTCGTCCACTGTTTTACAAAACTGTTACAACTCCTGCGCCGCATTTTGTCTTTACACTCTTGTTTGATCGATGCACTCGGCTCGTTCGATCTTCACCCAAGAAAAAAACAGAAAAAAGAATAACACACGGAAACATTTACCCATACTTCAAGGGCAATTAAGTGAAGCACCACAGGCTTGAATCATAGCCCGTGTTGTCTTGCCTAGAGAAATTCAATCCTGAAATCGATTCGTGTTGTGAAATTGCGCACGACGATTCCGCCGTGTCCAGGCATTCCGCTAGCTTTAGCAGCTCTTGGTACAAATCGCTCTCATTGTTGGACGATTCCTCAAGTCCTCCGAATAATTCATTGTTGATCCAATCCTCCATTGCCGCCGAGCTGCTCCCTGCGTCTACTTTCATTTCAGGGGCAATTTCGAAGTCTTGGAGCGTCATATCCTCGTGCAATTCAGGAATGCAAGACAGGCTGGGGAAAATCCAGTCCTCAGAAACTTGTCTCTGTACTTCGTGACTCCGTGAATCAGCTCCAATGGCGAGTGGGGTGGCTGCTGGCAGAGACGCTGTGGCAGCGGCTGCAGCCGCAGCTTGAATGTCCTTCGGCGACCTTGAATTGGGAATGTAATTGGGGAGTGAATCAGGAAAATTGAGCTCCGGAGCTGACGGCCCCTTCAGACACACAACTGCGGCGTCGTAAGCCCGAGCTGCCATTTCAGCAGTAGAAAACGAACCCAACCAAATGCGCGCCTTGCTGGTGGGATCTCTAATCTCCGTCACCCACTTGCCCCAAGCCCGCATCCGCACTCCCTTGAACGCCGCCTGTTGCGAGGAAGAGCAGGGGAACCGATCAAACCCACCGAAGGCAGATTTTTTCGCGATGGAAGAACTGGGCGTCGTTAAATGCGTCAACAGGGCACCTCCCCGTTTCGCCTTCAAGGTGGCCGCATTCCTTTTCTCCACCATTCTGACAACGCCGACAGTTCCAGAATCTCAAAACCCACAACTACCGATCACGACCCAATCTAATGCTCCCCTAATTTAACCTCCACAACCCCTCAAGAGCACTAAAACAGCAATTTTCGACTCAACAATCGAATGTAACCGAACGCTCTATTCTCACTTCGCGGCGAATCTTCACAGCACTTGACAATTGTTCTTTGAACGCAGCACTGATGTCCCTGTGACCGATTAAATTTTGTTTGGTTTTGTGTGATACCTCACTCTCCGAACCGATCACCTCTGCGTTTTGTATATGTATCTATATGTATAGATAGTGAGAGAGAAAAGGCTGATAGGAAGGCGAGGGCAAGGGGACAGTGCTATATACTGATTCAGCGAGAGTGGGCCTCGAGACACCGTGGACACTTGCTGCTTGCATGGAAGAGAGGTGGGCCCCGACGCGGCATCTCTGAAAACTAAAAGCTCCCACATGCTCAAATGAGGTGGCAACTTTGCCGCGGTGTTTGTAGCTTTGCACCCCATCTTTTGCGAGGGACTTCGCAGAGTAAGATGCTCGTTTACACCCGTAGTTGAAGCTTGCTCGTTACGTCACGCCTCCATATCCGCACCCCCCCCAACTCCTTTACTGCCCTACCCTGCCATACCTTGCCCTGCCCTGCCCTGCCCGTACCTGGTGATGCAGTTGTGCACTCCTGGCTTCATTACTTTTCTCTGCCGCTACTGCTGCTTGGTGGAAAGACGCCATAGCTGGCTTTTGCTGCAGCTCATGAGTCAGTCACACCTCATTTTGTGTGTGTAAGTGTGTGGGTGTGTGTGTGTGTGTATTCGGTGCTTTTCCGGATGCAGTCGCCACGCAGTTTTGGTAAACTGAGACCCATAGGCGTTGTTGATTTGGAATAAATCCTTTCAAATCTGCTCTGCCTTTTTGTTTTGTATTGTTTTGTTATTTGTTTTTTTGTCCTGGTGAATAGAATTATACCCATCTGAAAATCAAATATCATGAAACAACCCTGTCTTCACTTTTGTTTGTGTTTACGTATTGTGGAAAGATTTTGTCGACTATTTTCTAACACATGCAAAATGCAGCTGATATTCCTACGGCTGAACTGACTGCTGCATAATCTTCATAAATATATTTAGAGTTTTTTACTTTTTTATTTTATGTATGTGAATATATATATATATATATATATACATATCACCACATACACAATACATTTTTTTTTTTTTTTTTATAATTGGAATATTTAGTCTGCACCAAATCAAAAGTAATTTCAATTGACACCAAAGATAAGTATGTATACATGAATAAATGATTTTTTTGAGTGAATTTAATTGAATAAATATTTTTTTTGATAATCTTGCTCAATGTATTTTTCTAATTTTTATTTGACCAACCACTGTAAAAGTTGCATTTGTTCGAAAATTAATCATCCATATACTGTTTTCTTTATTCTTTTCTTTTCTTTTCCTTTGATGGGACATTGTACACCCCAAAGAGACAACCATAATAATTATATCATTACAAAATTAAAAATAAATAAAAACAACAACAGCAACGAAATGCTATAAAGTATACCAAATTCACAACATCATTATAAAGCAAAAGTAAAACACGCAATGAAAGCCTGTGTGCATGAATAAATGGACGCAAATTCTATTGGATGTTTGATTGTTGATTGTAATATATCCACGCTTTGTGTCTTAATTTGTTGCAATAAGAACCGTCTAGTATGTCATTGAATGGAACAGACATACGAATGTTCATCACAAAAGATGTCCAGAGGCCAACCCCACAAAAGGAAAATAATGAACTACTAAAGAACGTGGAAGAAAGGAGAGGAATTGAGCAAAGATAAAGGATAAAGGGAGAAACCAAATGAATCAATAGCCGCACAAGCAGAATAGAGCACAAGTCCATCTAAGTGGTCAAACACGGAGATCCAGATCAGCAACAATTCAATTACAGATGTGGCGGTAGAACGAAGACTGCCAAATCAACATTCCTAGGCTTTGGGCTCAAGCGATAAGGCCAACCACCAGCGGCCTCATGACCAAGGAATCCTTCAAAATAGAAATAAAGTGGCGGTGCAATACTGACTGAGTGGGTGAAGTCACGTGTGGGGTCGCCGCGTGACATGGCAAAGTGCTCTCCAAGCTTCTACAACATCTGCAGCTCAACCCACATATGACGAAAAATCCTCGCTCTACTCATACTCCATAACAACCAGTGTTTTGGCTAATCAGCTCACCACTTACTTTCTAAGACATGCTGGGTTCTTATCAGCCTGGATCTTCGGCAGGGTCGTCGACGAGGTCAGCAGTAGGGTGGCCGCAACTCCATCGCGAACCGTGCCTTGGATATATTTTAGCGAACTGGATTGTTGCTAGGACATCGGAAAGGCCTGTTACCGTTGGGTACATGGGTCCTGATTCTCCTGTTCGATGTTCGAGTAAACGAGCCACCCCTCCGAGTAAGACAAAATTGTTGCTACATTCCCTCACTGGGTCAACATGCTATTTTCTCCCATATTCTTCCCAACGAATCACTCGTGTGTGAGCCTTGGATGAACCGGAGCGCGTTTGTCTTGGGCCCCACTGCCTTGCTTTCCACTTCAGTCTCGGCATCTTACACCACGCCCATGATCATTACAACCGAGTCATCAGGTTGGTCCTAACAAGGAATCCTGTCGCGAATTGCACTTTTCCACTGTTGCCACAATTTCACACCTACTTGTTAGGTACCAGGATGGGTTCTAACCTCTGGTTTCAAAGTGAAGCACCCGGTGTCCATGGACATACCTAATGCGATTGAGCTGGGATTTAACTCGCTGAACTACTGCAGCTTCAGTTGCGTCGATGATGGTTGGTTCAGTCTCAAACGAATATAGCTATCTGATGCTGGAGTCCAGCACAGGGATGCGATGGAGTGTCACATACTGTGCTTGTGGTGCTGCGTAGTGGTTGGTTTCAACAACTGCTTGACCTATTTTGCTTTGCGAAACTTCACGAGAAGTGAGAGTGAGCTGATTTGAACACACTACATTGCAAAGCACACACACTGATCGCTGCGTTACAGACATGGAGAGTTTGGTTTCAGACATATTTGGATGTTGTGAGCATGATTTCACCAGAAATGAAAGCTTCGACCAATGATTCAAGATCTTCGGCTTCACAGTTATTCAATGGAGCGTGCTTAGGTTGTTGCCAAGAGTTTTTATTTTATTGCGTACAAAGTATGCAGCGCGCTTTTGTTAAACAGTAGATCCATGTGAAGCTCATGGATGATTTAGAAGGCAAGACGGTTGGGTAGAATATCGATTAATACATTTCTAGAAGAATATTTCCAGCTAGCTGTGCTAGTTGAGAATTGAAACTAGTAATTTGGAATGAAGTTATTAAAGCCACATCTCCCGTGTTTCAACCTCCACTGGGACCAACTGGAGCAACTTGCTTTCGTTGTTTCGGAGTTAAATGATTTTTCTAAAGTTTCGTTGTTCAGTCTAATTGCTTCTTTACAACCCTCTCTTACGTGCTCCTGGGAGTTTCTTCTACTCCGCAATGTTCTAGTTCATTAGCAACATCAACGTCGGTTGTAGATGATTACGGTCCCAAGCCGATTGCAAACAATTCTTGCCACTCGTTTGTTGCAGATGCCCCAGAGGCTTCTTCTCGCCCACTTATTCCGTTTCCTCTATTCCTCGGCGATGTGGCAATCAGACACAATCACGAGTGGGATGACCGCTGGCAGAGAAGCTGCCAAGGCGGCTGTAGAGGCAGCCAAAATGCCCCTCCGCAACCTGGACTCAATTGCGAAGCTGAGATTGATCTGCAAAAGTCCAGCTCTGCAGTTAACACAAGCATACCATCGTCAGCTCTGGCTACACCTTTGGCAATAAACAAAGAAATTGAATCATGCGCTTGTTGGCAGGGTCTCAGATCGCCGCCACCAGGCTCTTCCACGCCGGCATCCGCTCACTCGTGTATGGGCTCCCGAAAGGGATCTCACAAGTGACATTCTCATTTCACTCTCGAGGACACGACCCCTTTTTCGTGTCCACCACCGTTGGGAACTTCTCGAAATTGAACTCCTGTCCGGAAGAGTGCACTCAGAACTCAATTGCAATGCGCTCCTCACACACAGTTACAAAGACCCGTGGTGGAGTCACAGAAGCAACAACTCACCTCGACCAAACAGTTCAACTTCACAACCTCTGTGACCACGAGCGAGAGTGAAATGCAGCCCGCTGCTTTCCTTGGAGCGAGAGATGGGTCAATCAACGCATGAGGCTGAGATAAGAAGGGATCACTGTAGGGGGTCTTTCGAATGAGGCGAGGGTGGGCAAGATTCATGCCCCGAGGAGGAATTCCTGGTCGTAGAAGGTTCAGCGAGGAATGGCTGCGCGGTCCTCGGAGTCTGCGCAGGGCGAGTTTCCGACACGAGTTGGAATACCGAGGAATGGATACTCGTTACCGAGTGTTACTCGTCTCCGTTGCTACGTGCCGTTAGAACCCACTAACTCGGCTATCCGCGTTCATTATGGAAGTCGCTTTTTTCGGTGATACTTTTTCACAAGCTTTACATGTCAGTAAAGCATTCTTTCTCGTTGCAGTCAAATTTGTAAACTTTTCTGGTTATGAGATTACTTGGGTGTCGTGAAAGTGAAGTTACATTATTTATTTATTTATTTAGTCTTTTGTAAAATTTGAAATGGTGATTAGAATCTCAGGCCCAGCAATTTAATCTAAGAGTAGGATTTTATAACTATCAATAAGTTTAACTTGTTTGAGTGCCTTCATACATAATCCTGTCACAGTGTGCAAAGTATTGAAATCTTACTAGTCTGTATTACCAAATAATATGCATGTTGTTTAACGTCATGTTTCACATACAGGTTACTTCAAAATTTGGTTGTTGGAGGAATTTCATGTTGTAAATCTTCTTCACATTGAGAATGCCATTTGGAGTGTGTAGTGTACTAACAGTTTCAAGAAAAACAAATCTCCACTAATTCTTTTGGAAAAGCAAGAACATACAATAGTTATTTTTTGAAAAGGAAAATACTTGCAAAAATAACTAATTTAATTTTAATACATGTATAGAATTAAATTATTGGGATTGGTTCAATTTGTGTACTATCTCATTCATATATATATATATATATATATATATATTTTTCTTTTAAAATTATTAGATATATATAAATATTAGATAAAATCTTCTATTTTGATTATAAATAGAAATATTTTTAAAAAATTAAATACTTAAAAAGAAAAAATTATATGAAAATAAACTAATAATTATCTCAAAAAGTCGGAAAATAGTGGAATTTAAATTTTCTTATATTTAATAATTTTATTTATTTCTTCATATCCTTGTAAGTTTGATACATATTGAATATTAAGTCTTTTAAAATATTTTTAGGAAAGTATTATTTGAAAATATTTTTTATGTAAAGACTTAGATATATGTAATTTTAATTATAAACAAATCCCTTTATAAGAATTGAAGTATTAGTATGTTATTTTATGCTTTTTCTAAAAAACAAATAGCTATAATATTCACAATATATGAAATATAGGTTAAAAAAGTAAGTCTATTATAAATGTAAGTTCAATCTTATTATTTTATTTTAAAATATTTCAGTATATATATATATATATATATATATATATTTTTTTTTTATTAAAATCCTATTCAACTAAAAGGATAAACTTAAGTTTGATTTCATTAGTTGATTATTGCATACTTTGAAAGTTAGGAAAGTGTATCTAAAAAAACAACACTATTATTTAGTGATCATTAATTTTTTTTTTTCTTTTATTTTCTTTACAAAAAGTTATTTTTTCTTCAAAAAATTAAGTAAAAATATATTGTGCTTACTTCTAACTATTAAGATGAATAATTTGAATGATCATATATTTTAATTTATTAAAAATATTTCTTTACAACAAAAAAATCAACTTATATATCTTAAAATTAATAATTTTTTGAAAAAAAAATGAATTATTTTAATACTTATCTAATATGTTAAATTACTTAATGTGGTTTTTTTGTGAAAATATTGTCTTTAAATAAATTTAATCTACTTTCTTCATAAATATATATATATATATATATATATATATATATCTATACATATCTTTCTAAAGTATAATAGTGTAATTGTCATACTAATGGTGAAGAGATAAATCTTTGTTTAAAGGAAGTATTCATGTTCTTTTTCCAAAATTATCATTTCAATTTTTTTTATATATATGCATATACAAATAAATATCTTAATATTAATAATTTATATTTTATATATATATAATTTTTAATAAAAAATACTATTTTTTATTAAGAGTAGTTTAAAGTAATGGATAACCATTAGACTTGTTTATAAGTAGTAATAGATAATACAAAACATAGTCTAAAGTTAATTTAATTTCAAATCTAAAATAGGTGATTTGATATTTTTGGCTTTTTTAGTGTATTTTTGAAAAAAAAAAAAAAAAAAAAAAAACTCTATTAAAGTTTAGTAAAATTAAAAAATTACTACTATTATGATGTAATTTTTTAGATCGTTATAACCAAGCATTTATTTAATAGAATTATGATATTTTATGAATGTATTTTAAAAGAAAATAAATATATATTTCAAGAATATCAAAAATAAAGAAACATTAGAATTAAAAATCCTTTAATACAAATATATCTTACAAGCCATATAATATAAAAATAAAATAAAAATAGAAAACATTAAGATTAAAGACAATTTTTTATTTTAGACGAAGATATGTGTTTAATTACTAAATATTTAGACATAGTTTTAAATACATCAGTTGAAACATAATAAATAAGCATATTCATGTATGAGTATGTACACACATACAAAAATAGACATGTATTATTGCAAAACCTTGTATGTAAAAATTTGGTTGAAATATATAATATTTAAAAGTTATTAACCTTATGAAAAAATTAAACTTTAAATACATATTACATTATTATAAATTTTATTACTATGTATTCTATTCAAATATTTTTTGTAGAATTTTTATTTTATTTAATATTTAAACCTTGTATATTTTAAATAAAATACTTTCTAACCGTCTAAATTAATATAAATATTATTGAAATTGATCTTAGATGAGGTTAAGAATGTGAAAAAAGATATTTTAAATTTAAAAATTACTAATAGATGATATTAAACTAATAATTTTTAAAATAAATTGAAAAAATTATATTCAATATTTTAACTTTTAAACATGTAAAATAAATGGTCTTTTTCTCTTGTGTATTAAAATTTTATACCATTATTAAGCCATATATTCTTATTTTTTCTTCTATATATAATAAATTAATTTTTTATAGATAATGTATAGATTTTTTGAAACCTAGGTCTACAACTTACTTAAAAAATTTATTACTATTTTAAATAGAATTGTATAAATATCTAAATTATCATGTATATTGAAAAATTCAATAAATATTAATTTTATACTAAAGCATGAAAATTAAAATTTATAAAAACTTTAAATTTAATTCTTAAAATTTTAAATTTTAAATTTTAAATATTATCTAGTAAAATAATTAAAATAAATTAGTACTTCTTGAAAGTTGATTGTAGCTAAATTTTAAAAAGGTTTATTATTATTTTTTTGAATAAAAGTAATTAATCAAAATTATATAATTCTTTTAGTTTTAAAAATAATAATATTAGAATATTATAATATTTCTAATATTAGTTTTATTTTTTTATTTTTATAAATATATAATAAATCCTTTTAATTAATTATAATATTATAAAAAGTACTATTGAAAATTCTAGGCTAATTAGATGTATTTTTAAAAATCAATAAAATTATACGTATAAAATAAATGTATATAAAAAAATTATAATAAAATCACTATTCGAATAAATTTGATGTACTTGTTTCAAATTAAATTTAATCATTTCGTTATAATGGTTTGTAAGAAATAATCATTATAGAAATTAAAATTGGTATTATTAATTACAAAGATTAAAAAATTTAGATAGAACTAAAAGTAAGTAAATTTGATAATATCTTATGAAGAAGCTTCATAAAAGCTTTGTAGATACATATTTGAATTTATCAATAGTTGTAGATGAGTTTCACTTTAAAAACTTCATAAACAAGTTGGCTATTAGTGATATAAGTTGACTATGTAGTGCACATACAGAAAACTTGTTTTGCAAATTAGACACATGTGTTGTAAATTTGAATAAAGTTGAATGACCTATAAAACATAACCACATAGCTTCTTAGTTAGATTGAATATATGGAGATAAAAGTGAGGCCTTTTTTACTCTTTTCAATGCCTCTCTTATATTCTTAATGTAGCTCAAGAATCTCTAGTCTTTTTATATTTAACAATTGTCATTTTAATTTATATCTTTAATTTGTTTATTTTCTCTTTTTGAGGTCACAAGAATATATTGCTTCTTAAAAGTCTTCTAATGATTCATGTCTTTGATATTTAGGTGGTAACTTTCTATAGATTATTTCATATATGTCTAATTTGTAAGACATGTGTCTAATTTGCAAATCAAGTTTTTCAAATGTGTACCACATGACCAACTTGTACCACAAATAGCCAACATATGCAACATATGGCCAACTTGTAAAAAAAATAGTCAACATGTGCAACACATGGTCAACTTGTTAGCTAAGTTTTTATCTTGTCACTCACCTACAAACACTTGTAAAGTCGAATTTGCATCTATATAGCTTCAAAGAAGTTTCTCTATAAGATATCATCAAATTCACTTATTTTTATTTTTAACTAACTCTTTTTATCTTTTTAATTAATAATACCAATGTTGATATTTGTGATATTAACACCCCTTTGCAGGAACAAGTTCTACAAGAAGTAGTAATCATATGTTGAAGAGTTCCAAGCTACAAATAACTATATTAGTCTTATACTTTGATTTTTGTTCATTTCAAAGATAATTAATAAGTCTTATCAATTATGAACAATATTATATATCAAAGAAAGATGACTATTTTATTATTTGATTATTACTGAGCTTTTGTAAATTTTTATAAATAAAATATTTTAAATATCATTAAAAGTGATTCTTACTTTAAATCATATTAGCAAATATAGAGTTTCTTCTAAAGTTGTGATACCAAATGCATTGTATTTCACTATCTATTTAAGAAAGGACATACTAATCTTGACCATCTTGATTTCTATTACAACATCTTGAAGGTTGTAACAATTTTAATGTTTTGTCTAATAACTCAATAAAGCATAATTCTTAAGTTGAATTTGTTGGTTGCTGATTTTGTTTCTCTTTAAGACTACAAATATACAAAAACTATAAATAATGATAAAAGATGAAATGCAATTTCTATTGAACTTATGTTGATTAATAGCAAAGAATTCCTTGCCTATTCATCTTTGT